CACTTCTCAAAAGAAGACATTTATGCAACTAACAGACAATATGAGAAAAAAAAAGCTAATCATCATTAGTGAAATGCAAATCAAAACTGCAATGACATACCATCTCACACCAGTTAGAATGGCGATCATTAAAAAGTCAGGAAACGATGCTGGAGAGGATGTGGAGAAATAGGAACGCTTTTACACTGTTGATGATAATGTAAATTAGTTCGACCATTGTGGACAGTGTGGTGATTCCTTAAGGATCTAGAACCAGAAATACCATCTGACCCAGCAATACCATTACTGAGTATATACCCAAAGCATTATAAATCATTCTACTATGAAGACACATGCACATATGTGATTACTGCCACGCTATTTACAATAGCAAAGACTTGGAACCAACCCAAATGCCCATCAATGATAGACTGGATAAAGAAAATGTGGTACATATTCACCATACAATACTATGCAGCCATAAAAAAGAATGAGTTTATGTCCTTTTCAGGGAGGGACATGGATGAAGCTGGAAGCCATCAATCTCAGCAAACTAATACAGGAACAGAAAACCAAACACCACATGTTCTCATTCCTAAGTGGGAGTTGAACAACGAGAACACATGAACACAGAGAGGGGAACATCATACACCGGGGCCTGTTGGGGGGTTGGGGGCAAGGGGAGGCAGAGCATTAGGACAAATACCTAATGCACTCAGGGCTTAAAACCTAGATGATCAGTTGATAAGTGCAGCGAACCACCATGACACCTGCATACCTGTATAACAAACCTGCACGTTGTACGCAGGCATCCCAGAACTTAAAGTAAAATTTAAAAAAAAAATTAAATTTTTAAAAAACTTAAAAAATATTTGGTTGCCTCCATTTGTCAACCATTGTGCTAGGTGCTAGGGATGTAAGAATGAAAAGAAAAGACAAAGTCCTTCCTCTTGTAGAAATTATTTCTGACATAATTTAGGATTGAAATTTGAATCATCTTCTAGTCCTGCACATTCTCATTTTATTCCTTTGACTGCTTCTCTACTTCTTTTCTATTTCTATATGTTGTGTTCTGTTTTAGAGAATCCCTATTATTCCATGAGAAATAGAAGAGGAATATAGGAGGAGAAAATTAGTGGGTAAGGCACAGATTAGGTTCAAACCTCAGCTCTACCATTTACTAGCAGTGTAAGATCTAACTCTATAATCTTAATTTTCTTATAGGGAAAGAGGGCAATCTTATATATAGGTCTGTTGGGAGAACTGAATGCATTAGGTGCATAAAAGTGTCACACACAGTGCCTGGCACAGTGACTACTCTGTGGTACATTAGATATTATTATAAAAGTAGGTACTAAAATCAAACTGTGCCTCTGGTTTAATCATTTACATCATTCAAGAAAAAAAATCCATCCTCTATGATCACAGAATACACACACTCAACTCGGCAATATAATGTTGATCTTATGGGATACAGTTAGGGTTTACAGCAAGGGTGAGAAAAAGGACAGTCCTAAGGCTCTCCAGTTTTGAAAGCACACATAGCTCCAGAAAGGTCTAAGTCCTCTTAGCATACTCCATCCAAAACAACTACTTTGTATTCAGAAGAGGAGCCATACCATCCCTACAGATGACTATCTACAAAATGGACTGTAATCCAAGCCCTGGGAAATGCCTTGGTTCTTAACTGGAATAGGGCTCACAAAGCAGATTACTATTTCCCTTTTTGCTTCTTGGACTTCTGAGTGTCTGATTACATTTGGCTGTTAAAATTTAAGTGAACAAAAACTCTCCTGTTTTTACTAACAAAAGATTTGCTTATTAAATGAACGCAGAAGGGGTAAAACTGACTCTGGCATCATGTATAAAAGATGAAACCATTTTTTAGATTCTCTTCTTTTTCTTCTCTCATGAAAGAACATGAGATTGAGAGGTAAGGTGGGGCGTGAAGGGAGATCCCTCTATTTAAGATCTTAGACATGTTTTTTATGAGCTCTTACCACAAATCTTAAACAGGTAGAAGGCTAAATTACCTCTTAAAGAATTTGAGGCCAGGTACGGTAGCTTAAGCCGGTAATCCCAGCACTTTGGAAGGCTGAGGCGGGCGGATCAGCTGAGGTCAGGAGTTGGAGACCAGCCTGGCCAACATAGCAAAACCTCGTCTCTACTAAAAATACAAAAATTAGCTGGGCATGGTGGCATGCGCCTGTAATCCCAGCTACTAGGGAGGTTGAGGCAGGAGAATTGCTTGAACCCAGGAGTCAGAGGTTGCAGTGAGCTGAGACTGTGTTTTTTTTTTTTTTGCATTCCAGCCTGGGCAGCAGAATGAGACTCTGTCTCAAAAATAAATAAATAAATAAATTAATTAAATAAATAGAGAATTTCCATTTATTCCATTCTAATAGCTGTGAAGATTTGTCCCTTCTTCACCCAGATAGCTATGAGAGACATGGAGTTTTCATCAGAATAACTTATAAAATTACAATTCTCTTCATCTATGATCACCTAGGTCAAATGTAAAAATCAAAGTGAGTCTGTGGTTTTATTTTCTGGAGACCACCTTGGCTTTATCCATTTAAGGGTTAAACAAAGGTGTTTATTCAAATAAGACACTTTCCAAAATCAGTTTTTCTTGTTTCTGGAGGACCAAATGTGATTTTAAGTGAAGTTAATGTTTCAAAACTAAGTTCATTTGCTCCCATCTTAAAATAGACCAGTGATCAGAAAAAATTATGTAAATTCAGAACAATGTTGCAAATGCTATACTTCTACCCAGAATTAAAACAGCATAGTCTGTGAGTCCCTCTTATTTCAATCAATTTTTACATCTAGTTGCCTTTAAAAAAAAAAAAAAAAACACTACTAAAAATTGCTGAAACTACCCTTCTAGGACCTGAAGGAACAAGGTAATCATGTCCATGGTTAAATTTTTAATTGAAAGTCATTAGAATAATGTGATTCAGGAAATCAGAGACAAAACAAAGACCACATACTATGTTGCCTCTGGATGCTATGGAGCTTTTCCAGAGGCTTAGAGAGAAAATGAGACCCACTCGGTGACAAGCTTAGAGGACCTCCCAATGACTGTTGGAACCCCCATCCTCTGTGAGTGTGCATGCGTCCACACCACACACACACACACACACACACACACACACACACACACACACAATCAAATAAAATGATGAAGGAGGTACAAGAACCTAACATGGCACTTGCAGAATTTATTTACCTTGGGTGTTGCAATCATTATCTGTAAACAAACAGTCCTTCATAATTAAACATTAACTTCCACATCAACTTAACAGTGGTGGTCAAGTAAATGTATGTTTCTGAAACTTCTGTGAGTGAATGGGAACAGACTACCTGGCACTATTTGCAAGAAAATAAAAATTCAGATTTCAGAAATAATCAGAATTTACCTCTAGAACAGCTGCTGGAGTCTATCTGATCATCCCATGGCAGTCATTTCATTGATCACATGTTATCACCATGGCTCAAAATTGCTGGTGCTTCAGAGAAGAAGGTGGGGGAAGAAACCAATTCCTGTGACCTATTTGGCCAGCGCCCAGGCAACACTAGCAGTTTCCTATGTCCTTCCTGACTCTGGCAGCTTTCATGGTTTGCAGTCAGAAAGACTCTGGGAGGGGTTGCTTTATAATGTTTGCTTGTTCCTTTTTATAAAATGCTCTATGCTTATTTAAAAAAAAGAGAAAACTCAGAAAATATATAAAGAATAGAAATTGCTTGTAACTCTGTCTTGTAGCGATATTCTGAACACTTAGGATATATGCTATATATATCAAGATATATAGAACACATATATCCTAAAGTTAGGATATAACTTTTATATACCATATATATTCTAACTTTTTTTATATACAGTACACGTATATCCTGAAGTTAGGATATAACTTTTATATACCATATATATCCTAACTTTTTTTTATTTATACAGTACACATATATCCTAACGTTAGGACTTATATACAACTGGCGAACATTTTATGTTTATATACATATGTACATACACGTATATATGTAGTATATATTAAGTGTATGTTTAACTTATGTTTGCACAGTATTTATACTTAATACTATGTGCATTTAACATATTTATATGTGAATATATATATATGTACATTTTTTAGTTTAAAGGTTTTTCCAAACTTCTCTGAGCTTAAAACTTACTTATCACAGAGAACTTTCTGATACTTCCAATCCTGTATTCCTTTCTCATTGGCACCAGTGAATTTTTCCCAGAACCAAATATATACCATATAGGACCAAAAAAAAGTCCCACTACTCAAGCTTATGTGTTCTTTGCAATTTAGGGCTTAAAAATAGCTGTAAATTGAATTCCAAAGTGCTCAACAGTGCCATGCAGAAGAGAGATGATTATCTCAACATCATAGGTGACAAAATCACCAATCAGTGGTTTTAAAAGACATTGCCAACAGATGAAATACTTCCAGTTTCATCCACACCAATAGATGTTGGGGCCAAGAGGAACTTGGGATGTAACTAGCAGCTGCCAAATATCACAGATGGCACAAAGTTAGAGACATGTGGAAAGGACAGAATCTATGATTAAATCTGTCCAGCAAGGGAAAGATGTAGATAAGAAGGTTCCTAAAACCATCCAGGACTCTCAAGTACATCCTGCCATGAGGAGGAAAAGAAAAGGATGCAAAAATTCCCCCAAAACCAGCAGGCATTTGATACATGCTCAGGCCATGGGAATTTCACTGTGTGACAGTAGCTGTGCAGTCATCACTGGGACATGTACAATCTATTTACTTACCTCTTATTAGCCCCTTTATAAGGACCATGGGTTACTCTGATGTCCACTACTGACACAACCCCAAACAGAAAAGTAACAAAAAGAAAATGAAAGCAACCACTGAGAAATAAGCAGTAAAATCCAACAATTCTCAGTGTGAACCTACTGGCACCTCAACATTAATGTATTTATTTAGTGTGAAGGAATTAATGGAGCTTGTTTTTATATCCCCTGTTAGCTGGAGACCAAACTTGAAGAGAGGTAAAGGAGCAGATACACGTGAGGAAACAGAGCAAGCCAGGCTACTGGGATGTTCCTACTGGTGTTTTCTGGTTTAATGTAACTACTTTCACACACTATTCAGCTGAGTTGCAATTTACACAATGCTAGTAAGTAGTGTGAGTATATGAAGTGGAGAATGCTCCCCTATCATCCAAGCTTTGTTAAGCAGATCATGCTATATGTGGTCTTGCAAAATCATTTAGCCTCTCTAGACCTCAGGATAACGAATAAAATTGGACCAGATGACCGGTTACATTCTTTTCTGCTCTAAAATTCTAGATAATTCCCATTCCCCTGACCACACTGGCCTGGAAGTAGTCAATGTATGGATATAATTACAGCATAATTCTCTGTTTATAACCTCAAAAACCAGAAGATTACTCCTCCCCGTCAAGTGTTCTCCAAAGGTTTCTTGGAGCCCCCTAGAAATTTCAGTGGCCAGTGAAACCTATGACAGCATTTCACAAATGTCACTATATCCAGACGCGCCATTCAGGGACTGATACTCATGCCTCCCTAGGCATTGCCACACTTCCTTCTCTCCCAGAGCCATCAGCATGGTGCCAGTGCCAGACTGCACTGTTCACATGAGGGAGAAGTGCTTATTCCGTAATACTTGGGCTTCACACCATGACACTGAAGCCAAAGCAGTATTAGCTGATGTCTTGGTCCATCTGGGCTGCTACAACAAACTATTGTAAACTAGGTGGCTTATAAAAAATTTATTTCTCATGTTTCTGAAGCCTGGGAAGTTCAAGATGAAGGCACTGGCAGATTCGGAATCTGGTGATGGTCCACTTTCTGGTTCATAGATAGTGCCTTCTCACGCTGTCTTCACATAGTGGAAGATGCAAGGCAGCTCTCCGGAGCCTTTTATAAGGACACTAATATCATTCAGGAGGGCTCTTTCTTTATGACCTAGGTACCTCCCCAAAGATCCCACCTTCTAATATCAACACCTTAGGAATTAGAATTTCAACACATAAATTTGCGGGGGATATAAACATTCAGATCATATCAGTCAGTACTTCCAATATCTTAGGCACTTTATAGAAAAAGAGCCCTTGCACCTCTCACCATTATATTTAACTCATAATCCTCAACTCCTTGAAGGGTACAGGATAGGTACAATGTTATATACCAGCTCACCCCTCCTCTCTGGTGTGAGACTTTTTTAATGATTCAATAGCTTGTTTGTGATTTTTACCTTTAGGTGGGTTTCCCCCGCCATCTGGGGGCAAGCTCATTATGCCAGTCATCCACATGCCAGCATAGAAAATGAGAAAATACAACTTATGCTCAACCTGAGATCCACTCTACACTTGTGTTATAATGCTAAGCTTTCTTTTATTCATTGAAAGTTAAGCACTTTATGTTACTTTATTTGATCCTAACAACCCTAGAAAGGAGGTATCATTATTATTCCCTTTACAGATGAGGAAACTGAGGTTTAAAGAGAGTAAGTCATTTACCCAAAGTCACCAGTTATTGAGATGAGACCAGAATATGCAGTGTAACCCCAATGACTATGACATCCTATCTCCCTATTGGTGTATACTGATTGTTTTATGTGTCTGACAGTATACTGTAGTCTCTTATTTTTACAATGAAAGAAGTTGTACATGCCTTCATTTTAGAAGTTTTTCCTGACACAGTCTGACTTCAGATCTTATTAGTCACATCTCAAGGGATAGATATATTTCTGTTTCATCATGTTTTACAAAAATAAATTCTTTTCTGATTTTTGATTCCTGATTTTTATATCTCAGATTTTAACTCCATTGATTAACAAGTAATTTAATAAACAAATATTCAATCAACTACAAGGAGTCAGGAAAATTTTGTTAGTCTCTGAGGGAGATTTGAAGATGCCAAGTCAATGTCTTTACCCTAAATGAGTATACAATCCATCTAGCAATAAAGATAGAAGCATGAGAAGATAAGAAACCATTGAAAAATTAGAACTAAAGGATGCTCAAACCTCCAGCCTCATTCCTTCACTCTCAGGAAGTGATAACCTCTGGAGGCAGAATCTCTAATTTTAAATCCTAGCTCATCACAATAGATCCTTCAGTCTAATTAACTCTAGAAATAAATCTAGTTCCCTTAACTACGAATTATGAGGATACTAACCCAAACTCACCTGGGAGGTATATATGAAGTAATATAAGTAAAATGTATAACATACTACCTGGCATACAGTAATCATCTCCTAAATCTTAACTATGATTATCTTAAGACGATTAAAGCATAAGAGTCTCCACTTCCCTTCCTTCCCCATCAGAAACCTTCTGCCTCTAACTGCTCTTCCTTTCATCTTTGAAGATGAAGTTCACTCCTCACCCACTGACTTATTCAACGAATATTTATATTGTGCTTCCCATTAGACTTCTCCTTTGCAAGAAAACCCCTTTGCCTTACGCATAGTAAATGCTTAATAAATAATAGCTATTATTAAATATTGAATGAATGAAAGGAAGCTTAGAGTCGTAACACAAATGCACCTTGGATCTCGGGTTGAGTATAAGTTACATTTTCTATCCTGGCAAGGGACATGACTTATTCTTTCTTCTTCCCAAATCATGCTAGCATTTTAAATCTCTCTTTCTCTACTTGCTTTTTCTCATGTATCTAAAACGTAAATAGACCTTTCTTCTGGGCCATGCCACACCAGAAATCCACCTGCTAAGTTCTCTCTCCTCCACTGCTTATTCTCTTGAAATAATACACTTAATGCCTCTACTTCTGACTACTCATCTACTCGTTCATTCAGGAAACAAATGAGCATCAGTGATTTCAGGATATTGTGGAATAACCCATAAATAAGACATGATCCCTGCTCTTGAGATGGTTGTGGATTTTTTTTTTTCTCTTGAACACCCACAGTACCTCCACAGTCAGTCACTCTTGATCAACCAAATCACTCAACCCAAGTCTTCTCTTAGTCCTCACTGATTTCCTTCTTCCATGGAAACTAATGTAGGAAAATGTGCCAAAGCAATCTGAAATGATTATTAAGACTGTTTCTAATGACCGAAGGGAAGGCTGAATTTTGCGTGTATGTGTAAGGGAAGACAGGGCTAGGAGAGTACAGGGAGTACAGGTAGGATGGAATGATTAATTCCCAAAGACTTAATTCAAACTCAGTTAAGGAACAGTAAAAATTGGCACATAGCTATGTTGTCAAAGGTGAGTATCACACAAAAAAATCTTTCATCGGAAGCAATTTGCACAGGAAATAAACTTAATTTCTTCAAGGTAATGAAAATCCAAGACATCACTTTCTATGTTGTAAATGCACTCCTTGTAGGCTTCCTGACCCAGTTTAGTGACTAGTTTAATATTCAAAGAGCAGATGTGTCCTCTTCACTTTAGAAAGTTTGATGTTTGAAGACAATTTAGGTCATTGGCTCCTGTGACAGCATTTCCCCTGTGAGAAAGCTACATTTAAGCATCCATCTCTTGTATTATTGATAGCAAAACGGTTAAGGCCATGAAGTCCAACAGCTTTGTCTCTGGGCCATTCAGAAGAAGCAATTAAATCAACTCTATTCCAGCTTTCCTTTTAGAGGAGTACGTCTGTGCTTTGAACAACAAATCTGTGAAAGAGGAGTTCCAGCATGCTTTTTTCTTTTCAAATATATTTTAATCATCCTCTCCATACCAAAGCAAAATCAGAAATGACATGACAGATACATTAATTTTTGGCTATTCACATAATCACTATTACCTTGGTAGTTAATAAAATGTGCTCTTTCAGATGCAGAGCAAACACAGCCTTCCTTCATGTTTCTTACTCCCATCATATTGAAACCACCTGTCCTGGAATCACCATTGTTTCTATGTTAGTCTAGCTCTACTTGGGATTTCTAAGGGCTGAGAATGAATTTTTACTTGTCATTGAGTTTCTAGATCTTAGTCCAGACCTTGTCACACAGCTGATTTCTGTAGATATCTGCTGAACACATTTTCCCCTAAGAACATTTCAAAATGTTAAAATGTAAAAGTTCGAACTACTGAGCATTGCACATGAGGTCCTTCCTGTTTCCGGTCCTAGCCTATGCTACACTGCCTACTTTTCCCTCATGCCTACTTTACTCAGCTACCCTGATCAATTTAAAATCACCCAACATGCCATGCTTGTTCACACCACGCTGCTTCTGCACATGCTCTTTCTTCTCATTGGAATGTCTTTTATCTCTTTCTTTCCTCATTGAAATCTTAACCATCTTTTAGATTTGCCCAACTCAAATTCAATCCCTTTTATAGTTAACTTTTTTCCTCAAGCAAAATTAGTTGTTTCACACACTGCTTTCTTAAATATCTGGTATGTTCTTCTATTACATTTTTATTAGAAAGCATGATGATTAATTGTACATGTCAATTTCCTCACATTAGTTGGTTAGATCCTACACTGTAAAGATTATGCTATTTTCATCTTTGTATTGCTAATGTAACACATGGAGCTTGAAATGTGGGACATGGTCAAAAATATTTATTGGATTGAATTGATTTCTAGTTCTGAGTCAATTACATATGCTTTGCCATTTCCTGATAAACCAGACATATTTACCTTCTTTCAATATTTGTTCTTGAACAGAATGTGGAGGGATAAAAAATTTTTTTTAGTTAATCAAAGAAGTCGCTTTTTAGTTTAAGTAAAAAATCACTATCTCAAATCCTCTTTGGCATAAGATTTATGTAAATAAATAAAATGGATAATCACTGTGGTCATTTAAAAATGCCCATCCTCAATAAATCACATGCTGAATTGAGTGTTTGAAACTCTCTCAAACACTTGTATTATATTTCTCTCTTGAATTCTGATTACAACCAAAGTAAATACCCCTACTATGCTTTCTTTTTGGTAAAAAGAAAGAAAGTTATTAAAAATAGAAAAGGAAAAATTGAAAGAGGAACCTTAGAACAAAGTGATGAGTACATGCTCTCCTATTACCTGAGTATCCTGTGAAAGCTAGTCTCTCAACCTGCTGAGGTCAAAATATGATTATTTATTTGAGAACTCTGCCAAGTAAGGTCTGAGATTTTAGAAGTCA